GTCGCTACTGTATTGTAGTTATACTGTGACATTAGTTCACGCATTCTGCAATTGGTCGATGGGGGCGCGACACATCTTGACAACAAGTCTGAAGTTGCTGTTGGCAGTCCATACTATATAGTCAAAGGCCTAAACACGGCATTAGAGAAATAATAAACAATAATAAATAAGTAAGGAATATGATATTAAAGATTATATCGATAATAGATAAGTTATTTTACATTACGTATTATAACAAATAAATTAATCCCTTTTTTACTCAGTGAGCGCTTGCATCTTAATGGCATATTCCGTTAGAACTAAAAATATAAACCAAACAGATACAAGAGCTCACTGAGCGCTCATAGCTCCTGCACACTGACGCGGAAATGCTTACCGCGAGGCAAAATGCGATACGGTAACCAATGAACATGTTAGGAGCTGTAAGCTTATTGGCAACCGCGTCACATTTTGCCGCGCGGCAAGCGTTTCCGCGTCCAGTGTGCAGGAACCATCTATGGGTGTGTTCCCATTTGCTGATTTTCAGTATAGTATCCGCCATGTTGTATTACTGGGAAAGCGTTTCCTTTCTCTAGTAAAAAGATCCAATAAAATCATAACCTAAATTCGTACGTGCTTCAGAGAACCCGCGTTTTCTCGGGTTTTATATTTGTGAATTTTGCGATTAAACAGAGAGGTATTGTGTTTTTATATTTGTTTCATATTTGTTGTATTGTTTAATTAGTTGATGTTATTAATCGTTTTCATTGTTAGTAGCTGATTTCTTGTAAATTATGAAAAATTTTTTGTTGGTTATTTTTATCTATTATTATTCTTTATTATTGTTGTTAGTATAATTTATTATTTTTCTATTATTCATATATTTATAATTTTGTGTTTTCTAATGACATGTTTTATTTTTTTATTCCTTTTTCTCTTCTTTCTTCAAATATTGTGTAAAAAACAATAAACATTCGTATAAATTGTAATAAATAAATGAATAAGTAAAATAATTAAACATCATTTGACATCATTTTGTATATTATTTAATATATTATCACTATATTTATATTACGAACAAGAAGAAAATGGCAGCGACATCTCAGACAAGTGACGAACCAAGTACATCCAAAAAAATTTCAGTTTTTTTATGCAGACACAAATAAATTATATGAATGTTATTTATCCCCGGAGGATGCTCAACGGGTATCAATAGGTAACTTTTTTTTGTAATTTTATCTTTCCATTCAGGTATATATACAGAGATAGCGTACACCGAAAATTATTTTAAATTCTTGTCTGCATGTCTCAAATATTGTAATGTAGTCCAAAAATGTTCATTGTTTATATTATTGAAAAATAAAATTTATACAATTTTGTAGATATGGTATTTGTTCAACGCATTTTTAATGGATTGATTCATAATGCACGTACAGAAAATAACAATGAAAACAATCCTTACCTCGAAGTTTACCAGTACATGAAGCCATTCATGATGTTGATATTGCAGGTATAAATTTAATTAATTTTTTATCAATATTAATCATATTCAATAGTTTCCATTTATGATGAATATATGAGAAAATTTTAAAATATATGATGTGTATCGATTGAAATTAAAGTAAATATCAGTTACTTAATGAACAGTTTAATTAAGAATTGATTTTGCATTAATAAAGTTTATGTGTTTTTACAGAATCATCGCAGGTCTCTGTTAGTGGTAGAGGAATGATTTGGACACATGAGCAAATATTGCTTTTAATAAATTTATATCGCTAAGAATATGCAAACATGAGCAGTGGCAAAATGGTCCTACGAAAGATGTGGCAACTGGTAGCTGAAGAAATGAAGAAAAAGGGTTATGACATTCTCGCGTGTAAATGTGCCACTAAAATGAAAGAATATCGTTATACACACACTTTCAGTTGTTTAATAATAATATAAAAATATTATAAAAAAATTGTTTGCATCAAATAATTTACCCGCATGTATGAGTTTTTGAAAAATTTTAAAAATGATTAACAAACACGTGAGTTTATACAATTTACAAGAAATCAGTCACTAACAATGAAAACAATTAATAACAACATCAACTAATTAAACAATACAACAAAACTAAAACAAATATAAAAACACAATGGGTGCTTTCAGTACTACAACCGCTCACTGAGTGCTCAGTGAGCGCTTGCATCCTGTTGGCATATTCCGTTAAGCCTTGTGTCCACGATGCTAGAAATTGGTCCGAGATCTCGGAGAGAGAAAGAATTAACCAATCACATTTAAATAATTTAGTCACATGATCAATGCGATTGGTCAATTCTTTCTTCATCCGAGATCTCGGACGGATTTCTAGCATCGTGGACACTGGGCTTTAGAACTAAAAATATAGACCAAACATATTCAAGAGCTCATTGAGCGCTCAGTGAGCGGTCGTAGTACTGAATGCACCCAATAGCTGCGTTCAGCAGACTCAACAGTTTTGCAACCGTTTTATGATTGTCTGCTGAGATAGGACCATTCTTCTAGATCTAAAAGTATGATCCAATCAACTCGAAAGAAACTTCCAACAGTTGCAAAACGAACGTTCTGCTGAACGCAGCCATTAGGTCTATTCGCGTTGCTTGCACTTTTGACACTCGGCATCTTCGCTTTCTCTCTTTTCAAGGCCAAATATATATCTATCTCATTTTAAGTGCAAAAATATTTGGGGATTTCATGCAACGCGAACAGACCTCGTACCTCTCTGTTTAATCGCAAAATTCACAAATATATAAACCCGAGAAAACGCAGGTTCTCTGAAGCACGTACGAATTTAGGTTATGATTTTACTGGATCTTTTTACTAGAGAAAGGAAACGCTTTCCCAGTAATACAACATGGCGGTTACTGGATACTATACTGGAAATCAGCAAATGGGAACACCCAGTGAATGGTCGTCGCTTCTGAATGCACCCAATGGGATGTAATAAAAAAAAAATAAAATAAGCGTTAAAGTTCACGACTATTGAGGTTAGGAAATCTGTCACACAACACTACGAAATTATAACCCTTATAGACAGTAATGTGTGTATATAGTAGTGTATAATGGGTGCGTTCAGCAGAACGTTTGTTTTGCAACTGTTGTAAATTTCCTTCGCGCTAATTGGATCATACTTTTAGATCTAGAAGAATGGTCCTATCTCAGCAGACAATCATAAAACGGTTGCAAAACTGTTGAGTCTGCTGAACGCAGCCATTGGGTGCGTTCAGCAGAACGTTTGTTTTGCAACTGTTGGAAGTTTCCTTCGCGCTAATTGGATCATACTTTTAGATCTAGAAGAATGGTCCTATCTCAGCAGACAATCATAAAATGGTTGCAAAACTGTTGAGTCTGCTGAACGCAGCCATCGATTCGGGGTAGCTATGCTGCCCCGAAAAAAAAATGCAACATATCCTAACCGTCTAGAAGCTGTAGCCTAGACAATATCCGCTTGAAATATTTCTAACCCATGAAGACAGTGGGGTGTGAGAACAGTCTTTAAAAATAGGCTTTAGAAATATCCTCACACCCCGAATTTCAAATGGGTTTTTACTGTCACTAAAGACTGTTCTCACATCCCACTGTCTTCATGGGTTAGAAATATTCCAAAGTGGACACTGTCTAGACTGCAACTTCTAGGTTAGTCCCCAAACTGGGTAGGATGTTGTTTTTTTTTATTCGAACCAATAAACGCTACTGTCTACATGGGTTGTAATTTCTTTTAGTTGTTAATTGTACAGCGAGTCGTTTAACTCGATTAATGGGAAGGAATAAAGTCTAATTTGGTCAATCTTAAGAAAATCGGTAGTCTTAGTCGTATAAGTTGGCTGTTGGCCAACTTCACCGATTCACCGATAAGACTTTAGGACTACCGACTATCGACTCATTGCAGAATCAGCTTAACGCTTAATATTTCGGTTCCTGGGACAGAGCGACGCTTTTTTCTGCCAGATTATTTTGTTTCATGCAAAAACGCGTCGAACAAGCCTAATTTTATTGATTTTTAAGGTGCTGTAGCTAAACTATAATTACCAAAGATTTACGTACTATTAACATATAAAAGAAAAGAATTTGAGAATCTTTCCATTGAACGATCATAAGATTTAATAAAATTCTTTAGAATTATTTAGTGATTATTCCGTAAGTTTGTGTTTTTAAAGATACTTTGTTGAATTAAATTACAAATATTAATTAAGTTAGAAGATCCATCTGATTATATTTTTAATCACCAAACATTTTGCAAATTTATTAATTTTGAGCAATATTCAAAAATAGTCAAAAGTCCAAATAAATTTCTGTTACATACTTAATCTATTATTTTTTACAAAGTTTGAAATTCCAACATCATGTCAACATTGGAGGATAAAATTTTGGGAGAAAAATTACACTACTACTGCAGCAGTTCTAGCGAAGATGAGGGAAATGATTCTGGAGATTCCGATAAAGAATCTGATGATGTCAAATATACTAATGATACTGCACAATATATTGCACCTTCATATTTGGAATGGCATGGAACTTCCAGTAACACAGGACCTAAAGGTGTTATAAAGGTATAATTGTGTGTGTGTGTGTGTGTGTGTGTGTGTGTGCGCGTAGTGTTTATTATAATTGTATTTTAATTATAGAAAGATATAAAAATCTAGAAACACCAAATTGAACACACGTACATATACATACATATATATTTAAGTCTTATTGTTAATCAAATATTAAACAGATAATGTTTGACATTAATACGAAATATATTCTTGGAAGGATTGGCAGCGATATAAGCAGTTAGAAGCAGAAAAACAAGAATCACAAGAGAAAGAAAGATTACAGTTGATTAACAAACTAAGTTTAACTTGCCGCAGTGCTTTAGATGAAGAAAAGGAAAAACTGAACGAGACAGATCCAGAGTTAGCAAATTTATTAACTGATGAATTTCTTTTAGAATATCAGAAACAAAGAATGAAAGAAATGCTTGCAAAAACAGAGAAACTTTGTTTTGGGAGAGTTATTGATTTGGAGAACACAGATCAGTTTCTACAAGCCATTGATGGAGAAGACAAGTCAGTAATTGTTATCGTTCACATTTACGAGGATAATGTATCTGGCTGTGAAGCCATGAATGGATGTTTAATATCTCTTGCAGAAGAATACCCTTACATCAAATTTTGTAAAATTCTAGGTTTGTTAACTTTGAGATTATATAAAATTAAAGAAATGTGATTTCCACTGTCAACATCATTAATTTTATATATATATATATATATATATGTATACACATTAGACTGACAAGGAAAAAAGAAAATATTTTTTTCAGCCTTTTGACTCAAAAGCTTCCATTTCATACCAAAAGAACATCCCTAAATTTTTAAAAATATTAAGATTTAGAGGTCGCTAGAGAACGATTCTTAAATCAAAGTTTTGATTTTCTTTAATACACATTTGATTTGATTCAAAAATAGCTTAATCCGGATTTTAAATGTGGTACTGTATGTTTTTTTGGTCGCTGAATACGATGCAATAATTCATTTAATCCTATGATATACGCCACCTTAAGAAATATAGCCCGATTATATAATGTAAAAAAATGACTAAATTTCGAGTTCAAGGTCGATTTTAGCAAAGTTCTAAGCGTTCAAATGGGTCGTTACTCCCCTCAAATTGTAGGTCTGTTCACCCAGAACATGATCCAGTTGGAATTTTCCCGGGACCTCCTACAGGGCCTTTAGAAGTTGCATTTAACTGGATTATAAAACGTTTTTAAGGATAAAAAAATATTTTTACTAATTCTAAAGTATATCACTTTGTGGTTTTGATATCCTCAAATTAAATACCTCAATTTGACAATAAAAATTCTTTATTAGAAAATGAAATGAGTACATAATACAAAAAAATATGATTTAATTGAAATAAATTACATATTATGTAGTATATTTTTTTATTATGTATTCATTTCATTTCCTAAGAAAGAGTTTTTTATTGTCAAATTGAGGCATTTGATTTGAGGATATCAAATCTACAAAGTGATATACTGTAGAACTTGTAAAAAAATTTTTTCTATCCTTAAAAACGTTTTATAATCCAGTTAAATACAACTTTTAAAGGCCCTATAGAAAGTCCCGGGAAAATTCCAACTGGATCTTGTTCTGGGTGAACACCTACAATTTGAAGGGAGTAACGACCCATTTGAACGCTTAGAACCTTATTAAAATCGACCTTGAATTCAAAATTTGATCATTTTTTCACATTAATCAGGCTATATTTCTTAAGGCGTATATCATAGGGTTAAATGAATTATTGCATCATGTTCAGCGACCAAAAAAACATACAGTACTACATTTAAAATCCAGATTAAGCAATTTTTGCATCAAATCAAATATGTATTAAGGAAAATGAAACTTTTTTAATTTAAAAATCGTTCACTAGCGACCTCTAAATCTTAATATTTTTTGATAAAAGTTAGAGGTGTTCTTTTGGCATGAAATGGAAACTTTTGAGATAAGAGGCCGATTAAAAAAAAAATTTTATTTTTTGCTTATCAGTCTAATATATATATATAATATATATATATGTGTGTGTACGCATGCACGCACGCAAAAATTTTTCGAACAAAAGTTGTATGACTTGAAGGGGGACACATGATGGAAATGTGGATTTGACCTTGAGTGACCTTGTCAAAATCAGATCAAGGTCATTAATGTTTTTTTAAATGGAAACCCCTATTTTTTATTACATATTCTTGTAGCTTATTTCAAGAACTTTCCGAAACACAATATATAATAAAGTTACTTTTCGTTAAGTATTTTCCGAATTATGGAGCTTGAAAGTTACAGTACCGCCGGCGTTATCCATGTATCTCATTTGTTAATCGGCCGGATCAGTGATCGGTCTTGCCTTAATTGGCTGGATCAGTGATCGGTCTTGCCTTAATCGGTCGGATCAGTGATCAGTCTTGCCTTAAATTTAACAAGTATTTAACGAAAAGTAACTTTATTATAGTGTTTTGGAAAGCTCTCGAGATAAATTACAAGAATATGTAATAAAAAATAGGGGTTTCCATTAAAAAAAACATTAATAACGACCTGATTTTGACATGGTCACTCAAGGTCAAGTCCACATTTCCATCATGTGTCCGCCTACAAGCAACTTTCGTTTGAAAAATTTTTCAATAAAATCGATTCGCGAGATAATCGACCATATCACTTAAAATGAAACACCCTGTATATATACATATATATAGACTTAAATATTTTTAATTATAATTAAAGTTTTACTTTGTAAGTAAACAGTAAGATCTTTTTTATTCTTATTCATCTTTAATTAGAGCTAATTTTAGCATAAAACGTTCTCATTTTGTATATCAATATTTTTCAGAATTTCAGAAAAAAATTTCATATCATAATTCAAATATATTGTAACAAATTATATTTTTTTTCATATATTTTTGTGTAACTTTTTTTTAGGCTCAATTGCAGGTCTCAGCAAACAATTCAAAAAATTTGGTGTACCAACATTGCTGGTGTACAAAAATGGACAAGTAATAGGAAACTTTATTCATGTTACGGATCATCTGGGAATAGATTTTTATTCATCGGACGTGGAAGCATTCCTCATCGAACATGGAATTCTCGCTGACAAAAATTGCATACCTCTTATTGTTTTGAAGAATGAAAATAGGACTTCTGATAGCGAATAAAAAGTTATTCTGTTTTAAGATAATACATTTTAATAAATCAAAATAACTTATTTAGTAACACTTACGCCATACAATATTTATCAAGAGTTTATAGAATACAATAAGATATAAATGCAAAAAATATTTACTTTTGAGCCAGATATATATATATGTATACTTATTGCTTTGATTATTAAATCCTTCATTTATTTATAAAACTATTTCAACATATCCAAGATATGTTTTTTCTTCTTTATTGCATTGCAGAGCTGTGAGTAGATCAACAACACCTGATCATATTCTGTATCCTTCATATTGTCGTACAGCTTTTTTAAATCTTCCTTCTGGCGAATTTCATCTGTAACCATTTTTAATTTCTTTTCGACTAATTGATTTAGCATTTTAAAAGCATTAATAGTAGTTGAAGTTTCTTTGAACATTCTGATTGTGCAAGAAAGTTTTGTTATCTTTGCTTGTAACTTAGCAACTTGTGCCTGTAGCAATAAATAGCCTGTCTTTTCTAAATATACTTGGTTTATATCTTCATATTTCAACTTATTCCATTTATCCATTAAGTTTATATATTTCAGCAAGTCACTTTCACATTGCAGAATCAAATCTTGAATTTTATTTTTCCATTGTACTGCTGGCACATTATAATATTCTAAGAATTTGTTATGTGTCTTACAGTCGTTCTTTGATGCTTCCTTAACATTTCCTCCTAAGGCTTCATATCTTACAACACACAGATATCAAGAGTTTTATTAATCATCATATAAATTAATAAATATTGTTACAGAACTTAGTACACACTTATTAAAATTTTTTTATATATATCACAAAACACTTACCTCAATATCGTATCGTGTATTGTTTCTCGTAACATTGTCTCGATGCAACATTTCACTTCTAATTTTTCATCGTAATTTAAATGACATGATGGTAAATCACAAATTCCCAAAAGTATCAATTTATCTTGCATATATTTTGTTGTCGAAGGAAGATGCATACACTTATCCAGCTCATGAATTGAAAGCAACATTCGTAATTTGCTAGCTGTGCTTTTGGAAAGAACATCTTTGGGATTCAAAGATGCTTTCTTTATACACTGATAGATAATGTTAATTTTGACATGTTCACTTATACTTTCTTCGCATGATATTAACAACTTTATCGTTTTTTCGATGGCAGTTGTTTCCTGGGTTATCACAAATTTATTGTTACTAACACTGGAATAATTGTCTAACAAACTTTGCGATAAATTTACTCTATCAATTAATCTGCCACTGGATTGAGAGATTGCAGAAATACTGGAAATATCTGAAAAAACAAAAGAAAACCGTGAAAAGTATGATATTTATAAATAGTACTTTATGCCTGTGTGTGTAATGTATACTTTTAATAACTGTAAAATTTATTAATTAAATACTTTCTTTGATCACATCTACTTCAACTTTTTAAAAGTAAAAATATTATATATTACTTACCCGACAGTTGATGCAAATCGTTAAAATAACTCATACTTGACATTTCTATTAACCATATAAACCGCAGGAGAACAAATACATATTAATAATAATTAATACTTCTTTCTCCTTTATTATAGATATTTAGATATTTGTTACTTTTAAAAAATAATATTCTAATGTTTCAATAATTTGGACTAGACCGTTTGCTTGTTCAAAGTAGCTGCGTTCAGCTGTCAGTCGAACATGACAGTTTTGCAACTGTTTTATGATTGGGTGCATTCACAACGACAACCGCTCAGTGAGCTCTTGTATCTGTTTGGTCTATATTTTTAATTCTAACGGAATATACCAATAAAATGCAAGCGCTCACTGAGCACCACTGACGACAGCAGACAAATTGAATATTTCTGATTTATTTATGGGTGCATTCAGTACCACGACCGCTAACTGAGCGCTCAGTGAGCTCTTGTATCTGTTTGGTCTATATTTTTAGTTTTAACGGAATATACCAATAAGATGCAAGCGCTCACTGAGCGCTCAGTGAGCGGTTGTAGTACTGAATGCACTCTATGTCTATATAATTTAGGAATTGTTTGGGGAAATTTGGGAAAAGCATTTAAACATTTGAGAAATAGTATTTTTCTTGTAATTAACAAATTTTATCATGCGTCAAGTTAGCAGACAGCGATTTTATTTATAATGTGTTTTATGAATGGAATCGATTAGAAATTATTTGGGGAAGACGTCTTCATTATTATTTTCATTTGAGAAAAGTCACTATTTAGTAATTCAATAGATTTATACATTACGAAAACGAACAAAGCCCGGGTATAGTATGGGTGTAGTAGGTGTAGTAAACCTAATATAGTAAACCTAAAATCGTTAAAAAAAATTAATCAATTAAGCCCGGATCTAATTATGCGTAGTAAGAAATTATGTGTAGTAAGAAATCAACTTAATCATAAATTTAATTATATTCGACTAATTTTCTTCACTTTCAACTGTGATTGGTCAATTCCTTATACACTTCAAGAAAAAAAATTTTAATATTTATTCTTTATTTTTGTTATTTTTCAGTAAAGACGGACAGACGGTTTTATGTATATACATGTATGTCAAGAGATATTATGTACATACATACATCTAACAAATATGTAAGTATTTCTTCTAGACGTAAAAGCAATTTGCGTTAATTTATAAAGAGTATGTACGTTTATTCATATAATATTATACACACAGATTCAACAGTTGAGTGAGCTCTCGCTGCTATTGATGTATTCTTCTAGATCTAAAATTCTGATTGGATGTGCTAAGAGAATACACCAATAACAGCAAGCGCTCACTCAACTGTTGAGTCCGTTGAATGCACCCAATGGTCGCGTTCAGCAAACTCAACTGTTGTGAAGAGGATCCGTGAGCGCTCGTTGCTATTGGTGTATTCTTTTAAATCATCCAATATAGCGTTTAGCGGATCCGCTAAGCCAGTGCTCGGCACTAGATGCACATTTCGGGCTGATTCCGGCGAGCGACCCCCACTACCACTCGAGTCTCAGC